GTGTTTAATTTGGTTGAATCAAGTTAATTCAGGTAAAACCTTAGCGTAACTGTAATTTATGATGAGGTTAGTATGAAGATTTTTATTAAAACTAATCTTGTGTTGTTTTTTGTGTGATTTCATTAGTCATCTGTTCAAAGTATTCCTGATTATCTTTCGCTCAGCTTTTATTTTCCCTCTTGTTCCCTCTTTCCTTGGGAGTGCATACAATGGCAATAAAACAGTGACACACTCATCTGTGATTGCGTGTTCATTTAGCATGAGCCAAAAGCAAGGAAGATAGGCGATGAGAATAAAACCAGAGATTGAGGGAGTGTCTGAGAGAATCTTTTAATAAAGACAGAGAGGATTAGATAAAGGAGAGGGACTAATTACTAGCCAAATTGCTTGGCGGCCAAGAGTGGGAGACTGCAACTTGTGTAATGGTACAGGGCAGCTCTCAGATTTTATGTAACTGTATTTATGTAAAATATAGCATTACTTTCAGCTTAGCAATATGCTTCCCGGGATGACTAAGATTAAGATAATCTAATGACTGCTATTAGAAGGAACAAGTGTAGATCACTATCAGAAGAAATATGCAGAATTGGAGACACTAGAATTTTCTTAAAAGATCAATGTGTAGTCAGTGAGTTGTCCATCTGTTCAGTCAATCAGAAAATGAAATTGGAAGAGGTGGGACATGAGAGATAGCAGCAGATAAAAGCAGAGCCATGAGTCACAAGATGAGAAAGCAGGTCTGTCTTCCAGCTCAGGGCCCAGTCAGTCAGTGACATAGCCAAGGGACAAGGCAGCCCGCCATCCAGCCAGCTATCTAATTAACCAATCAGTTATGTAGACATCCAGAAGTCCAGTCATTCAGTCAATCGAAGATAGTAGACAGGAAGTAAGCCAGCAATTAGGGTCTGCAAACAGTAGTGAAACAGAGGAAGACTAATGGCTTCCTGGAAGTCATGAAAAATACAAAATACTGAACAAAGTAACATGATTAGCACATTTTAGCTGCAAAAGAGCACACATAATTTAAAGTTTGATTCCCTAGTTCGAGTGGAATAGGAAGATACAGTGCTGTTTGCCCGCAGCTACAGGGGAACACAGCAGAGAACGAGAAGGGGAAGCAAGAGCGACATGGAGGTGAGATTGGAGAGCTATATTGAGGGGACACAATAGGATGTCTTTGAAGCTGCCAGGCTTGCATCCACAAAAGCTGCTTCATGCTATCTTTTCCTCCTCTAGAATTCATAAACATACACACATGCTAACAGACACATACACTCACTTACCTTTGACAGGAGTTTTTCAGGATTGCAACGATAGGAAAACTTGAAAGGTGCCTTGAAGAGAAGCTCCTTTCTTCTTAGTCCAACAGAGGCGAGGCACTGTATAACTTCTTTTTAGTAGTTCTGCTTCATTGCAGGGACCCATACAGAAATACAGTTACCTTATTTTTACAGTGCACTCTGACTCAACTTACTTTATTGAGCAAGTCCATCACCTTTCAGTGGCCACCATTCCTTAACCGACAATCAGATGTCTGTGTCTATTTTCTTTTCTTGTTGAAACCTTATTGTGAGTTCAGGCTTACTGAGGTTGTGCAAAAGCAGCAGCATGTCCCTTACCAGGCTGCTTAGTCATAGACTTATAATAAAGAGCATGTCAGTTTTTTTATTTGTTGTTATTTGGTGCTCTCCCAATAGTTTGGTGCTTTTGTAGCCAGTAATGGAAAAAGTTTTTTTGTAAAACCTACAAAAGGTATTTGTTCATACTTGCATCCTGTACACCTCCACATGATGTATGACACAATTGCTCACCACCTTGAAGGATTTGCAGACTGCCTGTATTCTTCCTCAAGAGTGACACTCATTTGCATGTATTTCCTTGTATGAAAGATGTTTTTAATAGTGCACAGTCGGTAGATTCCAATGATACAATGCACTTTAGTATGAGAGATGGGTTGATAGCCCAGTTTTTACAATAGTTTTAAGAGATCAGTGATGTGTGACTGTTGGTGCATGCATTTTTCATGTCCTTTACTTCACAAAAGGAAGATAAATAAACAACAAATAATCTGGATTATTTAATAAGTGCCTCTTGCTGTTGGATGATCTTATTATGGACAGTTCTTTGGATCAGCTTTCCCCATAAGTATTCAGGCTTTTTGTCATGTTGAGTCACCTAAATGGTCAACGGCAGTTATTGAAAGGGAAAGAATTGCGCCATAAAACTTTGTGCGCTTTTTCTTCACTAACATGAGCTTAGACTAAGACAGACATTAATAGTACACCTTACTATTTTAGTAACATTTTTAGAGCTGATGTCTTTGACCATGGTAAACTGGGAGAAACGTTTTTGACATCTTGGCACCTTAAAAATCAATGTCAGACCAGTCTTCAAATAAATCGTGTTAAGGGGGCCTTTTCAACCCATTTCTCAGTGTTCAGTTAGTTTTATTGAGCTTCATAAATCCAAGTTCATACAATATTGTTCAAAGATGTTACCACTCTCTCTCTCTCTCTCTCTCTCTCTTTTTATTTTTTTATTTTTTGCTCTCACACACACTCCAACACAAAAATATCTAGAGCAAGAAACAAATGATCTTTTCAAAGTTGTAGTTGATCTTGATTTGATTTAGACATTGTTCAGGGAAAAAGGGAACTATAACATTTCTAAAAGAACCTAACAAAAGTCTGCCCGCCCTCAAATTTTGGAACATTCAGTTGGTGGAACTCAGCATAGTCATTCTCCCAGCTGTATTAAATATTTTATAAAAGTCACTTGTGCAGCCAGAAATCAACATGAAAATAGTTCTGAGACTTGACAATAGATTTTTTCTGGTAACTTAATCGGTCTGCCATGGATATTGCCAGTATGAAACCCAAAATCCCCAAATACCTTCTGCGGGTGGAATGATTTACAAAGGTCATGTTTTAGAAGCTATTGAAGTCCAAGAGACTGCAGTCACGGTTTGGCATATATTTGGACATTTTTGGCAGCTCGCGTTATGAGAAAAAGCATCTGCGCCTGCTGGTTGCATTCATCCTTGGAAAAGATTCAATTCATCTTCCCACTGGCAAATCTGCAGTAATTTCTCATGAATAGTTAACTGCATTAACTTCATCAGAAATATAATTTACATATTTATTATATTATTATTATCATTATAAGCATGTATTCTAGATGTTTTTCTCTCAAAACTATTTGATACAAATATAGATATTGCATTTTTTTTCTATATGTATAAGTATTTACAAAGCTTTCTTAAAGACTGAATGACATTTTTAAATCTGGAGAAAAAACAATTCAGATAAAGACAGTATCAGTCCTTGCTGAACAGGTTACAGTTTAGAAAGTGCGCTTTTGCATTGAGATTTGACTTTTTTTTTCTGTAAGTTATCTGTCTTCAAATTATTATTCTGATCTGTCTTCAAAAAGAGATGTCAATATCAGTTAGGGCACCTGATAAAAATAAATGGAAGATGAAATGAAAAGAATGATTTTATAACCACAGCACTGTACGTGAGTCTCTGCAGGGAGAATGCTCAAAGAATAAAAGATGAGAGATCAACACATTTTAAAAACATATAACATAACTCACGTAATTCTGCATAAAAGCATGAAGCATAAAAGGATAGACGTATGGGAAACATGCACAGGGATTATTTGAACAGAATATACTGAGTACAGTAGTACACATAATTCTGCCTTTGGGCTTGTGGTAAAACCTGATGTCAACAGCAAATGTATTGCCTGAGAAGATACAGTAGAGAGAGGGAGCGAGATAACAAATTTGAATTAAATCAAATGCTATAAGCAATGCAGAAAAGGCCTGAAAGGAAGATGGGAAAAGCAAGAATTCAGTGGAGAAAGAGAAGGGGCGTTAGATAAAGGGAACATAGGGATTACGTGGGTGTCACATATATTATTGAGTCTGGGCTGGAGGAAGTGGAAGCGAGGAGAGCTCTTGTTGGTCTGAGTCGACGTAACAGTGATCCCCTGCCACAAGGATGAATGAGGCTAATTTCTAACAGGCTTCAATAAAGTCAGTGAGCTCACTGGCTGCAAATCAATCATTACCCTGGGCTTTTGTGTGTGTGAGTGTGTGTAAGTGTATTAGGTATGCATACCTAAATGTTTGCCAGTAAGCTTGCATAAACGTGTGTGTGTGTGTGTGTGTGTGTGTGTGTGTGTGTATGAATAGAAAGGCTAGCCCACAATCTATCTGAGCACAATAAAAAAGCCAAAGATGAATGTGTTCTGTTTTCTTTCCTGGTTAATGTAGAAATAAACAGATGCTGTTTTGTGAGGGCAGGGGTTAGAGTGACAGCCATTTTTGAAGCTCACAGAAATCCAAGGCAGTTAGCTTTTTACTGTAGCACAGCAAGATTTCAGAGGACAAGGCCACAAAAGCTGTTTATAGCACAAGACGGGGATAAAGAGGTTTTATATTTGAAGATGGACAAGCCACTTCTCATTGTAATGTGCTCCAGACAGCATTAAATCCTAATGGGAAGCCCTCACAAGCATTCACACATAGTGTTCACATTGATCAAGCTTAAAGACGATCATTTATTGCAATAGCAGTCTACATTTTTTAGCTTGTGTCCAAACAGTTATGCCTGCTAGCGTTTTGAGAGCGAGAGATTGCACATTAAGACATTTCCAAGGAGTTAAAGGATGTCTCCACAGGCCACTTTTACCTCAATATATAAATATTATCATATCTCAAAGATGTAGCAAAGATATGTTCTTTTATGTCTTTTTAAAAGAGCATGGATTCAGTTTTCTGCAGTTTCTCCCACTTTATGCTGCAATGTGAAGATCAGATCTGTGCCAAAGCATCAGATCAGTTCTGTTAATCCAGACATAATCTTTCAGGATGTGCTTGGCTGTTTCAACATCTTTTCCTCCTGCAGCAAAGAGCTGCTTGTATGTGATGATGTGACACCTTTTTTTCTGTTACTGTGCATTTCACTGTTTTTTTGTTACTTCTTTGTGTCTAGGTGGAGAGGTGCCCTACACCACTCTAGCTACGAGGATGATGATGGGCGTTTGGTGGATGTTTGCTCTTATTGTCATTTCCTCGTATACTGCCAATCTAGCAGCTTTCCTCACCATCACACGCATTGAGAACTCCATACAGTAAGTATCCGACTGATTTTGTCCTTTATTGTCAGTGGCAACCATGCTGGCTTTAAAATCTGGTTCTATGGCTTTAATTTCTGAAAAACTGAAATCCTATGACATATATTAACAATATCTATTATATTTAGTTATATCTTAAAGCTGCACATCACATCTACACAGATGCACAAGCTTCAAAATGCAAAGGAATGTAAGGACATATGCTAACTCACACCTATTCACCAGATAGTCTGTGTATTAGTTGTATGTACATGACAAATTGTTTCTAACACACTGAGACACACAGTCTTCCCCAGTGTGCTTGATTGTTCCTCAGTAAGGAAATCCATTCTACCAGGCAGGTGTAATTCATAAGAGGCAACACACACACACACACACACACACACACACAATTACTTCCCTATCCTTTCCTTCCCCTCTCTCCATCCTTTCTCCCCTCCTCCTTTCTTCACCCTATCGTAGAATAGTAATTTCCTGTCTGCCTCAAGTTTGGATCTATTATTGTGTGTGTGTGTGTGTGTGTGTGTGCGTGTGTGTTGTTACCCTCAGGACGGGGATCTCGTCCTCCTTGTGGGCCACCAGCAGGGGGAGCCCCGCCAGCGTTTTCTCCAGGTCTTTACCCAGAATCTTCACTCCCTGAGACGTCGACACCTCCTTGTGCTTCTCGTACTGGCTCTGCAAACATCAATCAATCAATCAATCAATCATTAGTATTATATTATAATAACCACATACTTTTGGATCATGTGAATTTGATGCTTTTATTTTGAAAGATTTACCTTGACTCTGAGCTCTTTCAGAGGGGGGGGCAGCAGCAAGCCTCTGATCTGCGTTACGATTGGTCCCTCCACCCCCGGGACGATGATGGTCTCTCCCTCCCGCAGTCGGCCGTTGATCAGGATAACGTCTATCGTGGTTCCCATCCCGGGCAGCGCTTTCACCTGAGCGCACACAACTCGTCAGTAAATTCATCCCGACTGCGGAGAACGCCAAGAAAATAAAACGCTCTTACCTCCATAACCTGAGCTCGGAGCTCGTCGCAGTGCGCTAACCGACGAGCTAACAAGGTCTGCGTGAGCTCGACCAAGAGCGCGATGAGGTTTCCCATCCCGTCGCCGCTGTGAGCGGAGGTCGGAACCAACGACACGAACGTACGGGGGTCTTTATTCTCGTAGAACAAGGCGGCGTTAAGACCCTGAGGAACAAAAACAGGACGTGTTGAAGGTCACCTGTGGCGTTCCTCAAGGCTCTGTACTGGGCCCACTAATGTTTAAATATATTTCCCCAGTGTGGGATCAATAAAGTCCATTGTATCTTATCTATTAATATCTTTAAGTTTATAAAATGTGTTTAATAAAGAATTATTAATAACTTATTATTATTTACTGTGGTTGACAGTAAATATAGTTTATAATCTTTAATCCTGTAACAAAGACAGAAAAAGTTGAGTGTCTGAATTTGTGATTTTTGGGATGTTTAAGTCACAAAAAGTTAATACAGTGAAAAAAACGAGAAAGAAATGTTGTGATTGGTCAGTGAGTGATGATGTAATGACGGTCACCTGCTGGGCGAACTCCACGATGACGGATTTAACTCGCTCGTCAAACTCATCCTTAGTGTTCTTCTTCTGCTTCTTCAATGTGGTCGCTACGTCAGTCTCCGGACTCTTCTTCCAATCGTACAGACGATCAATCTGACAACAAACAACACTGTCAGAGGAGGAGGAGGAGGAGGAGGAGGAGCTGAGGATGAAGAGGGGACTCACCTTGTTGAGGGCGACGATGAAGGGACACTTCTTCTCCTTCAGCAGGTTGATGGACTCGAGCGTCTGAGGCTCCAGACCGTGCATGATGTCCACCACCAGGATGGCGATGTCACACAGGGAGCTGCCCCTGTTCCTCAGGTTGCTGAAACCAATCAACCAATCAATCAATCAATCAACCAACCAATCAACCAATCAATCAGTTCACTCACATACTGTAGTATTTGTGTTGTATTCGTACCTGAAGGACTCGTGTCCTGGTGTGTCGATGATCAGCATGCCGGGGATCCTCAGGTTTTCTTTGTCAAACTGCACAAACATTTAATAATCGATCATTAATAATATTTGATTATCAATCATTAATATTGATTAATCATCGGTCGGTGTGCATTCATACGTTTTTAACCATCTTCGTCTGGTCCTCGATTGTCTCTTTGGGGACGTTTGTGGCTCCGATCTGCTGAGTGATTCCTCCGGCCTCGCCGTCCTGAACATGAGTGTGTCGCAGCTACAGAGCAACCAGTAATCAATAACCAGCC